AGTATTTCTTTTGGTTCAGGTTGTATAGCAACAAATTATTTCAGTTTTTATATGAAAATACTTTTGAATTGTATTCATTTTTGAATAATATGTTTAATGTATATGGAAACTCGGGATCACTGTTATTTTCATTCCAAAAGTTATAAGCATAGCTTGATTTTCTTCTTCCTTATATTATTTTTGTTGGAAATTCACTATTCACAAATGATAATGCTGTCTTAAAAGTAAAATACCATTTATCTCTGACTGTTTTTATATTTTTTTGTCTTTAGTTTTCTTTGATTTTACATAATATCCCAAGATTTTTGTTTCATTTGTTATATGTATTTAGGGTGTTCACAAGTTTTCTTCAGTCTATGTATCAGAAACTTTAATTGCTTTTGAAAAACTCTAGGCTAGTATTTACTCAGTCATTTTTTCACTGTTAATTTCTCTGTAACTTCAATTGCAGATACAGTTGACATTTTTCCCTGAGTTCAATATGTCTCATACACTCTCATTTAATTTTCATTATTTGTCTTTGTGTTTCAATCTGTTCTTTATTATTGACCTCTTTTCTAGTTTAATAATTCTCTCTTGTAATATTTTCACCAGATATTTAAATTGGCTTGGAGTGTTTTATCATTTACCATCTTTTTATCTATTTTCTTATATGTATTAACAATAGTTATTTTAGAGTCTTTGAGAACTACAAGATCTTTGTGTGACTTTCAAAAACATTTTTATTTTATCTCTTGATTTAAGGTGATTTGCCTATGTTTCATTTAACATGTGCTAATTTTTTTATTGAATCCTAGTAGAGTATATTAAAAATGATGAAGATTTAGATGATTTATTTGTCACCAGAGATGATTTATTTTTCTTCTGGTAGTCAGGTTGAAAAAGGGAAATTACCTTCATTTGGCCTAAACTGGTTTATTATTAATTTTTTTTTGTAAAAAGTTCCTTTCTCCTAGGGCATAGTCATTTGAAGTCTCTCAACTGAGAGCCTAAGCTTTGTACATATTTATTTATGTGTACCTTTTCATCCATGTCTCCAACTGTCTATTTGTCCTTACATAACCTGGCAAGGGAGATGGTGAATGCTAGTTGACATTTCCTTTTCAGTAAGACCTGCAAATAAGTATAGGGACACACATATGACATCATTGGGTTGAGAACCCCTGCAATCTCTACTGAAAAATAAGAACACATTAGTCATAGTTCTCTCAAAGTCTATGGGTTATAACTGCAATATCTGGATCAGTGGGGCTATTAATTTTCTTTTTTCTGTTTCTTCTGGGGCAATAAGAAAAGACTTTTAAACATATTGTCTAAGATTAGAGTTTTTAATTGACTTGAAATAATTTAAATATTTAAAAGTGACCACAAATCTATATATTCTGCTAAAGATATCTTGGAGTCACTGGAATAGGGCATTCAAGAAAGCATGGTTAAAAACAATTATGGAGAAAATATTTCAAATATTTATTTTAGTTTATATTCTTTTAAATAATGGTTCGCCCATCTCTATAGTTGTAACCTCTTCATTTTTGCCTTAGCTCTTTGGAAACTGAATGAGGAAACTTCAGTGATTTCACTGTGTTCTTCTTTCTGTTTTTTCTTCCTCTTACTATTCTTTGCATTTTCTTTAAGTTACTTGAAAGAATGTGTATTCCTTTTATATACTCCCACTGGGAATTTAACTACCTATACTCTGGGGAGATACTTTAAGCAATGTACTTAGAATCGCAGCACAAAAAGAAAAAAACACTGTGCAAAAATAATCCAGTGTCACTTCTACCTGACTTCCGTCTATTAAAGGTTATTTGCTGGGGTAGAGCACTGTTTCTCAATCATTGTCTTACTGCCACAAAGAGATCATTGATTTCTGAGTGTATTGATGAATTAAACATAGTCTATGCTCAAAAAAATGTCTAATGAGCTTGAAATAATAATTCCCTGAATTGAAATAATGATATTTTCTTTTAAAATATTACTAAAATCCTGCCATTGAACAAAATTTGGACTGAGAAAGCCATAGTGCTAAGAAACAGTCCTGACTCAGTTACCAAGAAGCCTGTATGTGAAGTGATTTCATCCACAAGGATTGTTCATGCTGTGAATCAATAAAAGAGTAATGAGTCATTGTTAAGTAACAATTACAGTTTTTCTCCTGCTTTCCTGTTGGTTTTGAAACTAGATGTAGTTTCAAAATGAATCTGAAATGTTTTAGTTCACTTTCAGTTTTATTTTTCCTTGTGTTTTGGGGCTGGAGTTTAAGAACCTGATGAATATGAAAAGCCCAAAATTTAAAATGGGATACAAAATAACTTTAAAAATATATAGTTTGCTCATAGATAGAGAACAGGATAACAGCTAAGGTGGTGAAAGAGGTTAGGGGTGGAGGGACTGAGCAAAATGGTAAAAGGACTCATGCACATGGACAACAGTGTGGTGATTGTGGGGGGTGGGGAGGTTAGGGGGTTATAAGGGGACTAAATGGTAAAGAAGAAATACAGTGAGAGCCTGTAAGTTACTGTTTGAAAAGGGGATGCTGTCACTTCAAATTCTGTTTGCTGTGAGTTGCACTGTTTTTAGGTGCACTCAGTACCCCATTGTGCGGGTACCATGGGAGAAACAATGGTAACATAAAATATTTTCCTCAATGTATTAGTTCCCAGACCTTTGCACATGTGTTAGGAAATGACGATAATAACACCAATTAACATTAAAAAATAAAATAAAATCATGTTTTATTGAAAAAATACTTATACTTTGCAAATATATATGTACACATATTTATTTTAATATATTCTTTCAATAGCAACATTCTACGCTGGACTGGTTGATGTGATTCTCCATTGGTCCCATCCCAGATGAGTTAGGCTGATCATGAAGTCCCTCTGGGTGGCTCATACCCTAAATGTTGACATAGGAAAACCAGGATAAATCACTTACATCGAAAACTCCGTACTATAAATGTCAAAAGTATGTCCTACCTATAAAAATGTCCTCAGGAATCATTAACTTCCTGGCATAGAAGTGTTCTGTCCTCAGGATCATGAACTAAAGAACAGATAGTGTTTGTTGATATATTAAGTGAACTGAAAACATCCAATTAAGTATGACTGTTATGTTGCATTTAATTGTATGTAAGTGGTAATAAATATACTGAGACCCACTGCCCAGTTATAAATTGGCCTTCCTACAAACCATTCTGTAAATCTAGCTATAATTATCTTAATTATATTATATTTACTGGCTACAATTCATAGTTGGTCAAAATAAATGGCAAGTGGTTAAAGCAATGCAGAAGTTATCAGCCTCAATTAATTTACAAACTTTATATAAATCATACGACCCACTTTTATTTAAGAAATCTAATTGTTGGCTACAAAATCAAATTACATTGTTATGGATAGGTCTAAAGCCTGAAATTTTTTGCATTAAAACTATTTCTAAGAAGCATTTATTTTTCTAGCTAAGAAATATATATGCCAAGTAATAAATTTGTTTGAAAAAAGCAAACTACTTAAATGTTATGTATGTATTTCTAAGTGTTGTTTTTTTCTTCATTCCAAAGGGTAAGATGCAATAATATTATGAAATGACATAGGCATTGTTTCTCAAAATGCTTCAAATTTTCCACAGAAGCCGCTAGCCTGGGAGCCCTGCCAGAATGGAAGGTACTGAGAGGGACTCAGACAGGCAGACTCAGCTAGATGTCAGAGCAGGAGGTGTGTCCTGCCAGGCGGAACGTAGCATCTGAGTTGTAAGAGTGATACATATTAGGCCAGGAAGGGAAATCAGATAAAGCTTAAACAGGAGAACTAAGAAAATATTTCTGAAAACATACTACTTTAGAACTTTTTATCCTACAAGTTGTTTTTTCTGTTTATATCATTTGCATTATTTCTTTATAAAACTCTGTGATATATAGAACAGATTTTTTTCTTGGAATGACTTTATTTTTCTTGTCTACTTTGTGAAACTTTTAGACACATTTCTCAGCCAGTATTTGCTTAATCAATAAATAAACCATTTATATCTTATTTGGTGGGGAAGAGGAATAAAAGAAACTATGTAAACATGTTTTTCATACAAATAAAAAATCTTACTAGTATAAATTATCATTATAATTATTATGGCAAATCTTATTATGGAAACTAAAAATACCTGGCAAAAGTTAGAAGCTGAATCACAAATATGGCATGACTGTAGACGTTTGTTAATCATACCATTTGATAAACATTTAAAATGCTGACCTGTGCTACACATTTTGTCAGAATATAAAAATAATGCATATACCTTTCAAAGACTTACTGGGAAACACTAATGGTATGTACAAAACATAAAGTTTATAGTGACGTCCATACCTTATACTCCATGAGAATTAGGTAAAAATCCACCTTCCACTGGAGCCACCTATAAACGACCTACAGGAATATTGTTAACAAGGGAGAAACAAGGTGAATAAAAATAATAGGCTCTAAAATCCATTTAAATTCTAGCATCCTATGACTATTGTACAGAAAATTATTTGCAATTTTTATTTAACTAAATTATTTACTTTTGATGAATGATTTAGGTACCTTTAAAGCATTTTTTTAGGTTGTGCCATGAAATGTTTTCAGTCAGAAGTGTTATTTATAATTGTGTAATCAATTTATAAACTGAAAAAGTGTTTATATTTTGTAACCTTTCATTTCTTCATTTCCTAATGAGGATACAGGGGTGTCCAAACTTTTGGCGTTTCACTGGAAGAAGAAGAGTTGTCTTGGGCCACACATTAAATACACTGTGACATGTAACCACAGAACTCATAATGTTTTAAGTAAATTTACAATTTAGTGTTGGGCTGCATTCACAGCTGTCCTGGGCCACATGAGGCCTCTAGGCCACAGGTTGGACACCCTGAAAGTAAATACTAGTACTCATTTAGGTTACTTGGAAATGAAGTTCTGTTGAGTGCACCCTCTGGCCATGCCTTTGACCATTATTTCTTTGGCATTTTGCAGTGAGGCCCACAGTAATTGAAACCGATGTTTATGTGAACAGCATTGGACCAGTTGATCCCATAAATATGGTGAGTAATCAACATTAAAAGACAAAACTCTGGCATGAATGTTTTGAGTATATACCTCAATAATGGAATGAATATGTCACTTCTGATAGCTAATTCTGAATGAGTTGAGGGTAAAATATCCCGTTACTATGTGTCAGGTATTAGGAACTGGAGCTACACATATCTAAGAATGTGTAGCGTTTTACTGCAGTGTGCTGTAGTTGGTAGGAACTATGCTAGGGAATAAAACCTTATCATCTGATCCATCAAGAGTGGAACCCAGAAGATAACAAGAAGGACTGAAGTGCTGGTAGACAGAGGAAAAGGACTTAATGGCAAAGGAAGGGGCATGCTCAGAGTCATAGAGGAATAAAGCTTCAGTTTGATAACACTGGAACGGAAATGCATGGTAAAGAATCAAGCTTAGACAATGTTTAAGGGCCTTATTATGTAAGCCATTATGGGAAGTTTATGTATTATATGAGTTATATCCCCTAGAATAAGAGAAATGACTGGAAGCTTTTCATCAGGAACATGTCAGACAGACATATTTTTAATAGATCATTCTTCAAAGAGTACAGAAGATGATGTAAGGGGCCAAGCCAGCATTAGGGAGACCAGTTAAGAAGTTGTTGCATTACTCTGAACATTAGATCTTAAAGGATTTACTTAATGCTGTAGCAACTGAGCTGGAGAAGACAGTAGTACATTTAAGAAATATTAGATTAGTGAATTCTTCAGAATTTAGAGTTTCACTGGTTGTGCATAAGCTGACACCAAAGTATGGAAATGAGAAGACTTTGCAGATGGTAGAGTTATTCATTGAAATATGAAATACAGCCATGTGCCCTAAAGGCTGATGGCACCTTCGAGGAGAGCTGTCCAGCAATAATTTAGAGTTTAAGCCTCTGGTCAAGGAAGAAGTTATGACTGGATACAGATGCAAATGAGGAGCAGAAGAAGGACAAGCAAAAGGAGAATATTATCCTAAGTGAAATAAGCCAGTCAGAAAGAGACAAATACCATATGATTTCACTCACAGGTGGAATCTATTGAACAAACTGAACTAACAAGGAAAATAGGGACAGATTCATAGATGGATAACAAATAGTATAACAAATGTTGGGGGGAAGGTTAGGCAGTAGAGGGATTGAGCAAAAAGGAACAAGGACTCATGGACATGGACAACAGTATGGTGATTGCTGGGGAGAGGGGGATATAAGGGAACTAACTGGTAATGGAAAAAATAAAATAAAAATTAAACCATCTATATATTAAAAAATCTCAATAATATATGAAATGATCCATGAGAAAATAGAGATGAAGCAGAACACAGATCTAAGGACCACATGTTAAAATGAGGGCATATAGGATGCAGGTGGAAGAAAGAGAGGTGCAGGAAACAGACATACTGAGAAAAGTCAAAGGGTAAGAGAAAAACCAGAAGATGATACTATGTAATCAGAGAAGTTAGTAATTCCTCCTTCGTGAATGAAGAAAATTAATTATTAATTAATTTTCAATGTACTTGAGAATCTAATGAAAAGTGAATTAAATCAGGCCCACTGGTGTTGGCAGTGAGGTGGTACTGGTTATCTTTGCTAGATGAAATTCAGTGGAATAGTGAAGGCCGGAGAGAATTAACAACTGAATTTTATGTCTCTTTTCCATTCTCAAAATTGGTCTCATAGCCAACTGACTCAACTGTTCCTAACTAAATCTACCCTAAGTTTAGACTTTGAGAGAGTTCATTCATATCAAGTTTGGAGTTTAAAGAATGAAAAATAGACAAGAACTTGCTGGTAAACCACTTACAACATATTCCATTTACTTAGTTGAGAAATATGGAGCAAACTTCACTAAGAGGTAGAATGAGTAAAAAAAGGACAAAGTGAAAAGATTACCTACTCACACAGGAAGCATGAACTAGGCATATATGTTACTTCAGACAGAAAATATTCATTTAAACTTGTCTAGCAATGAAACGCATGCATGTATTTTGCAAAGTCTTTCTGAATCTATGAATGTTCATTCCTTTTGTTATAGCTCTGCAATGGTTTATTTTATATTTAAACTTGGCTAATCTGTGGTACTCTGATATTTGTTAAAAATCTAGAAGTTGCTGTAAAGGCATTTTATACATATGATTAAAATTTAAATCAGTAGACTTGGGGTAAATCGGATTATCTTTCATGAGATAGGTGGACATCATCCAATCAGATAAAGGCTTTAAGAGAAAAGACTGAATACCTTAAGGGAGAAGAGAATTTTTTCTCCAGACGGTCTTTCACTCTACTGAAATGTCAACTTTTCCTTGGTTCTTCATCCTGCCCTGCAAACTACATTGTACCTTTTCTCAACATGTCTGTAGCCTTTAGATTTGATTTGTAGCTAACTACTATTTGGCCCACTATAATATTTGGCCATGTGAATAGATAGTTCAGGGAGAGATTAATGTCCAGGTGAAAAGACAAGACCATGATCAACCAAATTTCATGATGAAACTATGTCCCTACAATAATTGCTTAGGCAGGTCTGCGTTTTATGTGAAGTTTTTTCTATTACTTGAGAGACAGTAATATTGAATTAACTAGTTAAATGTGAGACAGACACGCAGCACAATTAGAAAGCTGGCAGTCTAATAGGAAGACTATACTACATAAACTCTCATTATTATGGTTTGATTTAATAGAGTTAGAAATCAAGCCCTGGCTGGTGTGGCTGAGTGGAATGAGTGCCTGCCTAGGAGCTAAAGTATCACAAGTTCAACTCTAGTCAGGACACATGCCTGGGTTGCAGGCCAGGTCCCCAGTAGGGGGTGCACTAGAGGCAACTGCACATTGATGTTTCTCTTCCTCTCTTTCTCCCTCCCTTCCCCTCTAAAAAATAAACAAATAAAATCTTAAAAAAAAAGAAATCAGGCTCACTCACTTCATCTTTATTTACTAATGATGTTTTCTTATCTAACTTTCAAGGAGACAAAGTCTCAATATACATTGGATCTCGAATGTAAAAAGCACTATTCCTTATCTCCAAATGTTGATTCTAGAAGCTCTTACATTTGTTCTGGGTAAATGAAAGTTTCTTTTATGTTTGTCTTGTTTATTATGCACATTGTTATAACTTCTACATAAGAACATGAAGTACAAGAACACAATTTGATCATTTTTTGGAAATTACACTAATTCAAGTGAGTAAACAAAATTTGATTTTTCAATTACATATAAAATGGCACAAACTTTCATGACCTTATCTCAGTGAGACGCTCAGTAAGGATTGGCAATTTAAAAGAGTATTGAATTATTAACATCTGTTAAGGGTTTGGGGAGACAGATTATCAAAATGTTTTTCTCTTTTTGATCCTAATTTAAGGGAATAATTTTGAGTAGAAAATATTTCACATTTCTCCAAGGGAGAGTGTGATCTTTTGGAAGTTATAACTTCTTCAACAGGGATTAGCACTTACATAAACAGGCACTTTAAAGAGGAGCCTGTCCATTGTTGCTAAGCAGGTTTCACAGATGTTCGGTAAATCCCACCCCTAGACAAGTTAGTTCTCAAGTCTCACTTTCAATGCCCTATTGGTTTGGAATACTGCAGCTAAGTATTATCTACCAATAGTGTGAAATTCTCTCTACCAGCCAATGCTGGATCTTTGCCTAGCCAAAATCCTGGCACATAGTATGCCTCTTCCTTCAGTTTAAGCAGTTTCTGCTGTTTTATTACATACCAAAGTACTGGCATAATATACCAAATTCTGGCATATTATGTTGATTAAATACTTTTCCTGAGATCTACCTTATCTACTAATGGTCTACTCATCAGAAGAGTGTGAGCCTTCTTTCTACCTGCATTTACTAATAAAACCAGAAACCATGTTATTAACACAGATTACACTGTTAGACTCTGACTGTTTAATCATTTGTCTTCGTTGAAGCTGGTGCTTAGATAAAGCATAATTTACCCTGAGGAAAAGACATTTGGCTTGAGAAGCAGGAGGTCAGGATAGGCATGAAAGATAACTATTGTGAAGCTGCCCAAGAACAGGGTATGTGCATGTGTGTTTGCTTTAAAACATTTGAAAACAGTAATCTAAATAATTGTACTAAGAAACAGTTAGTACAGTAGTAAACTTGGTGAATATTTACATTTTAATTTTTTATTTGGTAATTTTTTCTGTGATTTAAGCACCATATGGATATCAAAAAGTAATATAATTATTAACATTAAGATAATTTGCTTTTGTGCTTAATGACTATATTCTACATATTACAAATTCTTGAATAAAATTTCCAAAAAATATAAAGTCACACTAAGAGTGGTAATTATTAAAAATCTTGGATTATTTTTACACGACTTATAGAAACAATTTTTTAAAAAGTTTTATATTATAATAAATAAATAAAATCTTTTTTTTTAAAAAAAAAAAAGGGCCCTGGCTGGTGTAGCTCAGTGGATTGAGCGAGGGCTGTGAACCAAAGTGTCTCAGGTTCAATTCCTAGTCAGGGCACATGCCTGGGTTGCAGGCCACAGCCCCCAGCAACTGCACATTGATGTTTCTCTCTCTCTCTCTCTCCCTTCCCTCTCTAAAAATAAATAAATAAAATCTTTAAAAAAATTTTAGATTATGGCATTTGTTTTTACTTACAAAAATTGATTTTAAGTGCTATCAACTTACAAAATTTTTAAATAAAATATTCAAGTGTCTAAAGAAAACATTTAAAAGAGTGGCTTTACTATTTTAAGTCATTACTCTTCTTTTTATCTTTTAGGAATACACAATTGACATAATTTTTGCACAAACCTGGTTTGATAGTCGTTTAAAATTCAACAGTACCATGAAAGTGCTTATGCTTAATAGTAATATGGTTGGGAAAATTTGGATTCCTGACACTTTCTTCAGAAACTCAAGAAAATCAGATGCTCATTGGATAACAACTCCCAATCGTCTGCTTCGAATTTGGAATGATGGGCGAGTTCTATACACTTTACGGTAATGCTCTTTAAAATGTGTAGGTGTTCTTAGTTATTTTCCATACCAATATCTGATCAATTCATGCATTTCCATTTCTTAAAGTTGCAAAGAAATACGGAGCTACTTTCATACCCTGAAATCGTCTATGGTGCAATATTTTAGAAATGCTTCTCAATGTAACACTCATTTTCAGTGATGTTGTAAAACATCCTTAAGAAAGGATTAAATGAATATTGATATGTAAGATACAAATTTAATTATTGCCTTGAACATACTTGCTTATTATGAATAATCCATAATAGACAGATAATCGTAATAAATTAAAATAAAAATTACCATGCTTAACAGTTCATGCTCTGCTAATTGTGTGTGTGTGTATGTGTGTGTGCAAGCACACAGGAGCCCACATACATGTGTGTTCATCTCCTGAAGTACAAATTTTCAACTGTAAGAAGAGATTATACTAAATGTATACAGAGGTGGTTTAGTTCACTAGAGGGGAAAGTGTTAGGACTGTCTGACTTATTTATGAACGTTATAATGTGATCACTTAAAATTTTGAGATTTTAGAATTATTATTTTCTAATATATCGAAGTCCATTATTGTAGACCAAAACAATGTTTGAAAGATAGAGAAATATTTTTAGTGCTTAAAATTATTCCCCATTTTTAATATTTATTCTTCCATCTAAATAGGTTGACAATTAATGCAGAATGTTATCTTCAGCTTCATAACTTCCCTATGGATGAACACTCCTGCCCACTGGAATTTTCAAGCTGTAAGTAATAAAATACACGATAATGTCAAGAGTTTTAGGCTTAGAACCTGTTTATTTAAAAATGTTAAAAAATCAAATCACACAATTTTCAGAAGTGTGGATTATGTTCAGCTCCCCTAGATAAAATAATTACCATGACATTTGTTTCTTAAACTTAAATTGAAAACAATAATAAATACTTAGTGAATACATGTATTTTATTGTATCATTCTTTATAAATTTTAGCTGTATCCAAGTGTCCTTTTTATATTTTCTTCAAACAAAGAAGTACTTAAGATAGGTTTGTGTTAAAATGTTACTGCATTGCCATGAATAAAAAGTTAATTCAAATTTCATTCATCTTCCTCAGGCATGAATTAATTTTATTACACTGGGTTTTAAAAGATGTTACACAGATTGGTTTGCTGAAGAGTATTTACTACATGAATAGCAAACATTTTCAAAGTCTTTAAGGAGTTGGAAACACTAGGTAGAAATAAATTTTCAAAAGAAAGAATGACAAATGCCATCTGATCTCATATGTGGAATCTAATGACCATAATAAACTCATGAACAAAGTAGGAACAGAGCCAAGGTCAAATAGAACAGACAGACAGCTGTTTGAAGGGAGGAGGAAAGGGGCACTCAGTGAAAGAAAGTGGAGGGATTAGCCGAAGAACATATACGTGTAAACCATAGACACAGACAGCAGTGTGGTGACGAGGGGCTGGAGGCTAGGTGGAGGTGGGCAAAGGTGGGGGGGGGGCGATGAGAACCTCTGCAACAGTGTCAACAATAAAAAATTTTTAGAAAAAGAAACAGAGAACTGATTATAGATTAGAGCTAAATAATTTGTATAAAAATCAAATATTTTGTGCCAAGAAAATAATTAGAATCTTTCTATATTATCAATTTTATTTAATATGTACTAACATATTTATCCTCACATACATTTTTAGGAAAAAACTTTTCTAGATAATATATAATTAAGCAAGTGTAAACATATGAGTTTTAAAATTATTATTGCCTATATCTATGAATTGTATAATTCTATTCTTTCTTTTGAATTTTGATTTTAATAAAGCATATTCTAAAATATATTATAATATATTATATGTATTTATAAATATTATAGTGTGCTTCTTCACTTATGAAATCCTTAATAACTGTTCTTGATTTTGTTAATCATTTTCTTTACTTTTCTTAATAATTTTTGTCTTATTAAAATGTCCTTTTTAATTCATCATCTTGTACCTCACTGCTTTCATTTTCTAACATTAACTTCTCAATTAATAATATAGTGAAATCACAGCAAAGACTTGGTCCATAAAAACATTCAAGGAATAGTTGATATGCACATCCATATTGGAAATTGCAACAATTATTGTGTTTGACTGTATTACCATGCTTAAATTACTTTTCTGATATTTTGATTTCCATTATTGGGAATTAATAATCTACCCCTAATGCAGTTGGGCACCACTGACATTAACATAATCATGTTTTTTTTTTTCAGAGACTCTGTAATGGATATAGTAGAGATTTAAGCTTTCTACATTAATATTTCACAACAAATATATTTGGAAGATTTCACTACAGCTCCCAATTTAAAAGTCATTAGCATGAGATTTAGAGTATTTAAATAACTAGCTCACTGTTTTTATTTGTGCCCACACTTCTATGCACTATGACTGCACTATATTATCTCTATATGATAATAAACTGGAATAAGAATATGGAAAAGCAAGATAGAGCTCTAAGGTACATATGAGAGAAGATGAAAAAGGGGAAGAGAAAACATTATTAAACAGGTTTGCAGAGAGGTAACAGTTATTTCATTGCTTGGCTGCTGAGGGGCTCCTGGTACAAAATTATGAATTTGTTTCAGAAACTTGTAAAGTTAACAGTGAATTCTGTTTCTCTAATATGGTAGATAAACCCTTTGGTTGAAAAAAAACCTTAAAGCCGTGTATTTTAAAATCTTTTGAAGAATGTATCAGTAATTATTAGAAAGAAAATTTTGGCCACAAAAATCCACATAAGAAATTAAAGCCAGAAAGATAAGAAAGTTTGGAGCCATTTTGACCTGATGACATTTGCCAAACAAGATAAATTAAGCTTTGATTTTGACAGCCTTGTACATTGGAAATCTAATAAAATAAATCTCCATGTACATTTTGGTTACAAACGGCTGGGCACAGTGTAACATGAGGTTCCCTCCACCATCCCCCTCCACAACCACTAACATCTACAAGGAAAGTTGCTCCTGCAATCAGTGTACCATGGTGAAACAACTCATTGAGAGATCTTAATAACAAGCTGACCTCACAAGAATTTGCAAGCCAATTTTTGTTCAATTTATTGGTCCAAAAATGTCCTTGTGAATTTTCTGGAAATGTCGCAGAAATAAAAACATATCCTTTGTGAAAGAATGAATTCTAGACAGACAAAAATAGGCAAAGGCATTTTCAACAGTAAAAACTAACAAAATGTTAGTATCCAGAATATGTAAAGCTCAGACAAAAAAATAAAAAAGAGAAATCTCAAAAAAGCAATGGTAAATTGAACAAGCAATTCTACAAAGAAATTTACAAATCTAATAAAAATATTTAAAACTTGCTAGGTTTCATTAATAATAGGAAAATGTGAAGTAAAATACAGTGTACAAACCAGTAAAAATAAAGAACACTTTCCACATCAATTTAATGAGAAGATGGACATACTTCTACTTTCACACTCTGGCTAGTGAAAGAATAGAGTAGTATATTCTTTATGGAAAATAGATTGGCATTGTCTTATAAAATGGAAATTATATTTAACCCATGACCCGACTAGTCTCTATGTAGGTACTTGAGGTCTGACCAGAAAAAAATCCAGCCACTGTTAATATAATGAGAACAGTTTGTATGACATCAATGTAACCTGGCAACTCAGGAGAGTGGACTGGAATGCACATGCATGAACAATGATGACTTCACTGTACAAGTCAGGGGGGGGCAGTAGATGCCACTGAGTGAACATGTGTACTGTGTGGCTATTGCATTCAAAATGCCTGAACTACTAGAACAAGGATTCTACATGGAATTTTGCATTAAGCTTAAACAGTCTTCTGTGGAAACTAGTTAGGTGATTCAGAAGGTTTCCAGGGACCATGCAATGAGTGAAGCACAAATAAAATTGTGGCACAAATGCTTCAAAGGTGGTTGATTGTCTGTTGGAAGTGATCCATGTTCTGGAAGGCCTGCAATAAGTAGAACACCTGAGAATGCTGAACGTGTATGGGCTGCAGTTAACAAAGATGGGCAACACACAGGGCTGGGAGAACTTTGTAAGGTCCCAAGGTGCCTACTTTGAAGAGGTACTGAGGCATCATTGTCTTATGTACAATGTTTCTTGTATCTTCTTCAATAAATATCTCTATTTTTTATATTACATGCTGGATACTGTTTGGACAGACCTTTATATCTCAGAGAAAGTGGTTTATATTTGTGTTTTGTTATGGATGTACAATCATGTTACTAGCAGCAAGGTTATTAATAGAAAACAGAAATCATTACAAGTATCTGCAGTAATAAAATAGAAAATTTGAGTACAATTACAATGTAAATATTTGTTACAGCTACAGCATGGATGACATAAATATATTATTTTTTCTTATATTCCTATTTTTATTTTTAAAATTTTATTGTTCTAAAGTTTTGGGGGTAACATTGGTTAATAAGATTATATAGGTTTCAAGAGAAGATTTCTATGATACTTGATCTTATTATTTCATTGTGTGCCCATCAGCAGAAATCAGATCATCTTCCGTCACCATATATTTGTCTCCCTTTACCCTTTACTATCTCCCACACCACCACACTTTAATCTTTACTATTCTCCCTGGTTACCACCATACTGCGGTCTGTGTCTATGAGTTTCAGTTTTATGTCCCACATATGAGTGAAATCATATGGCTTTATGCTTTTATTGATTTATTTATTTAGCTTAGCATAATATTCTCAAGGTCCATCCATGTTGCAAATGACAGTGTTTCATTTTTTCTTATTGCCTAGTAGTATTGCATAGTGTGTGTGTGTGTGTGTGTGTGTGTGTGTGTGTGTGTGTGTGTTTGTATGCCACATCTTCTTTATCTAGTTATTTATCTAAGGACACTTTGGTTGTTTCTATGTCTTGGCCATTGTGAATTATGCTGTAATGAACATAAGGGTGCATATATCTTTACAAACAAATGTTCTCAAGTTTTTAGGGTGGACACCCAGGATGGATTGCTGTCATATGGTAACTCTATTGTTAAATTTTTGAGTAACCACCATACTGTTTTCCATAGTGGCTGCACCAGTTTACTTTCCCACCAACAGTGAATGACAGTTCCTTTTACTCCATAACCTCTCTAATACTTGTCTTTTTGATAATAGCCATTCTAACCAGTGGTATCTTATTGCAGTTTGATTTGTATTTCCCTAATAACTAGTGACACTGAGCATCTTTTTTATATGTTGGCCATTTTTGTTTTCTTTGGAGAAATGTCTGTTCAGGTCTTCTGCACATTTTTAATTGGATTTGTTCATTTGTTTGTTATTGAGTTCTGTGAGTTCTTTATATATTTTGGATATTAACCCTGTGTCAGAGCTGTTGGTTGCAAACATCATCTCCAATTCGATTGGTTGCCACTTTGTTTTGTTGAAATTTCTTTTGCTGTGCAGAAGCATTTTAGTTTGATGCACTCCCATTCATTTATTTTTGCTTTTACTTCTCTAGCTTTGGGGGTCAAATTCATAAGATATTCTCTAAGACCAAGGTCCATGAGTTTAGTACCTATGTTTTCTTTAATGTAATTTATTGTTTCAGATCTTACATTTAGGTCTTTGAACAATTTTGAATTAATTTTTGTACATGGGAACAAATGGTAGCCTAATTTAACTCTTATGCATGTGGCTTTCCAAATTTCTGAGTACCATTTATTGAAGAGGTTTTCATTTCTCCATTGCTTGTTTTTGATGCTTTGGTCAAAAGTTATTTGCCCATATACATATGGTTTCATTTCTGGGCTCTCCATCCTGTTCCATTTGTCTGTATGTTTTTTTTTCTGACAATTCCATGCTATTTTTTTTTATTGTTGCTCTGTAGTATACTTCAAAGTCAGTTAATGTGAAACTTCCAGCTTTGTTCTTTTTTTCTCAGTATTGCTCTGGCTAGTTAAGATCTTTTATAGTTTTATACAAATCTGATTTTTTGGTTATTTTTCTTTAAATGTCTTTGGGATTTGAATCCTTCACATCCTTCATTAACCAAAGCATAAAAAAGGAGGGGATGCATTTCTGAATTTGCAAAGAAGAATGGAGATCAGATTCATTCAAAAGAAAAATGACTACTGTATACATGAACATTTCTTTTTCATAAAGCTAAAGGTAACCACACACACAAAAAAACAAAACTAAGACAAATAACTTAAAAAAGTAAACAGGAAAAAAGTGTGCAATACCACCAAACAAAAACACCAGCAGAAATACAAAAGATAAGAACCAGTGGAGGCTCAGAACTACCAAATAACAAAAGATACAATGGTTACAGAAAATCCTCATCCATCAATAATCAACTTAAATGTAAATGGAATTCACCAATGAAGATGCACAGAGCAGCAGATTGGATAAAAAAACAAAAGCCAACCATATGCTGCCTTCAGGAGACACATCAAAGTGGCAAAGACAAGACTCAAAGAGAAAGGGTAGAAAATAATTCTCCAAGCAAATAACATCCATAGAAACAAAAGGGTTGCCATGCTTATATTTGACAAAATAGATTTTAAGATAGCAAAGGTAACAAGAGATAAAGATGTACATTTTATAATGACAAAAGTGATACTACATCAAGAAGACATAACACTTTTCAATATATATGCACCCAATCCAGGAGCACCAAAATATATAAGGCAACTACTGACAATACCAAAGGGAAAATGGGCAAAAACACAATCATAGCTGGGGCCCTAAATGCTCCATTGATTACATTTGATCAATTACATTAGACCAAATGGCTCTGCAATTGACATTTGCAGAGCCTTTCATCTCAGAACAGCAAATTATACACACACATCAAACATTCTCAAGGATAGGCCATATGTTGTTGGGTCACATGACTAGCCTCAACAAACTTAAGAGGACTGAAATAATACTAAGCATAACCTCCCCCCCCCCAGTGTTTTGAAATTGCAAGTCAACAGCAAAAAGGAAGTAAAGAAACCCACAAATATTTGGAGATTAAATAGCACACTAGTAAAAAATGACTGGGACAAAGAAAGAATAAAACATGAGATCCAAAGACATACAGAGTCAATCCCCCACCCTCTAACTGCTATCAGTTCATTCTCTATCTGTGAGTCTGTTTATATTATGTTAGTTTATTTTGTTTATTAGGTTCTAATAAATCCAATTAAAAGATATACAGAGACAAATGAGAATGGCAATATAACATCTCAAAGCTTCAGGGACGCAGCAAAAGCTATGATGAGAAGGTTGGTTATATCACTGTGGGCCTTTCTCAAGATACAAGAAAAATCTCAAGTAAACAACCTAACATTACTTCTTAAAAAGTAGAGAAAGAAGATCAAAACCAGCCTGAAGTCAACAGAAGAAAGAAAATAATAAAAATTGGAGCATATTTGAATAGAATAGAGACCAGAAAGATTGTACAAAATTTTAATACAAAAAAAGAGTTGGTTCTTTGAAAAGATTAATCCCTGGCTAGACTCAGTGAGGAAAAAACAGACTCAACATAAAATCAGAAATGAAAGAGAAGAAGTTGAGACAGACATCACAGATATAATACAAAGGATCATACTAGGATAATATGAAAAAACTATATGCCACCAAATTCAATAATCTAGAAAACTGAATAAGTTTCTAAAAATACATCACTTTCCTAGACTGAATCATGAAGAATAGGAAAATCTAAATACAGCAAACAACAGTGAGGAAATTGAAACAACCATCAAAAACCTTTAGCACAGGAAATGTCCAACCAGATTGCTTCACTAATGAATTCTACCAAACATTTAAAAAAGATTTTATAACTATCCTCAAACGCTTCTAAAAATTAAGTAAGAGGCAATTCTTTCTAACACATTTTATGAGGCCAACATTTACCCTGATAGCAAAACCTGGCAAGGATAACACAACTCCCCCAAAAACTACAGTCCAATACCTTTGCTGAATATAAATGCAAAAATCCTAGCAAATTGAATACAATATATTAAATAAATAATTCATCGCAATCAAGTGGAGTTCACCCCAGGGGCACAAGGATGGGTCAACATAGGCAAGTCAATCAATGTAATGTACTATATTAATAACACAAAGGATAAAGATAATCTTATCAAATAAATAAAACAGTCAATAAAATGGGTATAGAAAAAGTTATCTCAGCATAAGAAAGCCGTATATGACAAACCCTCAGCTAATATTATACCTAATGGTGAAAAACTGAAATCTTTTGCTTTAAAATCAGAAACAAGACAAGGATGTCCACTTTACTACTCTTCTTGAACATGGATCTGGAAGCTTTAGCCAGAGCAATCAGTCAAGAGAAAGCAATAAAAAGCATCCAAATTGGGAATGAAGAATTAAAAGTGTCACTTTTTGCACATGACATGATTCTATACATAGAAAACCCTAGAGAATCCACCAAAAGAACTATTAGAAACAATAAACAAATATAGTACAGTTGCATGACTCAAATTAATGTATAAAAATTCACTGCATAAATATATTAAAATTCAGATAAAATAATGTATTCATTAGAACATCCATCAAGGAGAGTTCAATGAAACTAAATTAAGTTGCATTTTTAACAAATGCATATCAAAAATATCTATTACAAAAGTCAAGTGAAGAATTATCACAGAAATCAGATTAGTGGTTTCTTCTAGTTGGGAGAGGAAATATTATAATGAAGTACGCATGAGAGTTCTAGGATGCTAGCAAGGTTCTATTTCTTGATTATATGATTATTCTTTAAAATGTACACAGAAATTTTATGCAATGTTTTCTACTTTTGATATATACTATAATACAAATATGAAGAAGAATTAAAAAATTGTATTTGGATAGTGTTGATATTACAAGAGTAACAGATTTTGTTCTTGCTAATCTATATATTTTATTTTGATTTATTATCTAGATGGATACCCTAAAAATGAAATTGAGTATAAGTGGAAAAAGCCTTCTGTAGAAGTAGCTGATCCTAAATATTGGAGATTATATCAGTTTGCATTTGTAGGTTTGCGGAACTCAACTGAAATTTGCCACACAATCTCTGGTAAGAAGGAAACACAAAGTAGTGATATAGCATTTGCATTTAAATCTATGGGTTGGAATTGGAAATGTTTTATACTTTTACATATTTTTAAAGCCAAAATAAACCTTTTTTTTTTCTTTCAGGGGATTATGTTATCATGACAATTTTCTTTGACCTGAGCAGACGAATGGGATATTTCACTATTCAGACCTACATTCCATGTATTCTGACGGTTGTTCTTTCCTGGGTGTCTTTTTGGATCAATAAAGATGCAGTGCCTGCAAGAACCTCACTGGGTATGACATATAATATCATGCTACAGGATCATGGGACTTACAATTTTTTTAATGTGATAGAAGTTTAAAGTTTAATATATTAAAATATTTCTTTACACTAAAAATTCAAGCAAAATTAACAGGCACTCTATTGCAATATGGTGTTGAAATAATATATAAAAAACAAGAAGGAAAAAGATTGCAAAGAACATGACATTTTAGAAAAGTTTTTATTTTTTCCACTAATAAAGGTCAAGGAAAGCATAAACACAGTAAAAACTGACACATGACAATCATATATAATTGCTGAATTTCAACATTTTCAATCACTTTTCATCAAAACTTATTTTTCTTTTTAGCTAAACCCCTAATAGCCCACAGTTGTTGACTGGTGTGTAGTTAGAAGGTTTTGAAGTGCCTTGCTCTCACAATAGTGCTAATGAATAATCAATCAACTGTTCTAAAGGAACAAGGAGCTTCTAGTCTTCTGTAATCTATAAAATGTATACTTAGTCTGTGAATATTTTGAGAGTTTCTTGTAGAATAACACTGATTTAGAAGGTAATGTGTAATTCATAGTTGATAAAGTAGACTTTGGTTCTCTTTCTTTAATAATCTATTTCAATAATCCACATCATATAATAAAAATGTTTCTAATTACTATATGTTTGTTTTAAAAATGATAACTTACATTCATGTATTGACATACAAAGACAACTCATTGATCAATTGATTCATTACCAAGAATAATGCAGGAAGTGAATCACATTACTGAAAACTGAAATGCAAATCACATAAAAGTGGCAAGATAAAACCTGAGGCACCTCGCTATGTACTTGAAATACAGCTCCTCTGGGAGTCTAAACAAAAGTATAGACATAGCTGGTGGATAAGATGCACTCATACCTGAGTCTTGCTTCCTATTTAAACAACTATTATTTCAAATTACTTTTTGTGTTATTTATATGCTACTTTGAATATGACTTTAGTATTATATATTTGTCTTTAAATGTTATTCTAGTATTTTTTCCAAAAAGAATTTGAGTGAACAATTTCTTCCAATAAGTTTGTATGAAGGCAAAAATCATATGCCATAGTGTTTATAAAAAAGAATAGCCAATTGTAGATTTAGATTTTGCATGAATTTATTTTTTAGTATTAGGAAATCAATTGTAAAGATAAGTGATAGATTCTACTTGAAGAATATATCTTGTAATTGTGGGTCCTATGTAGTTGAGATATGAAGTTTTTTTTAAGTATATATACATATGTATAAAATTCCTTGAACTCATTTAATTAAAACTGCATTTTAATAAAGTTTTATCACATGCTTTTTATGAGAGGAACAATGTTCTAGGTGCTTTAGTATGAACAGTGAACAATATTTATAAAACCTTCATGTTTACGGCAATATTTTAATGGTGCAACGTAAGTGATGAACAGATACAAAAAGCAGAATAAAATGTTGATGAGTCATAAAGGTATAGAGAGAAAACAAAAAATGGCTACAGAATGGCAGGAGTGTTGGTAGCCATAATGTTTGCTATTTGATCTCCTGGAGTCAGGCCAGACGTCCCTGAGGAGGCAGCAGACACAGAGAAGTGTGGGAGCTGGCCTGGTGGGTATCTGGTAGAAAGACTACTGGAGCAGGAGAACCACAAGGTTCTGAAGTGGGATCTTCCTTATCGGGCTGTGCTTCAAGTGCAGGAAGAGAACTGGGGCTAGAGTTGACTGACAGGTGGTAGAAAACGAGATTGGAGAGATGAGCAGTACTTAAATTATGTAAGTTGAGTAGGTCTTTTTGAGGACTTGGGGTTTTATTCCAAATGTGATAGGGAATTATTACTGAAGTTTGAGCAGGGAAAGCCATGAAAGAAATATCAGTGAATCTGATTAATATCTCAATAAAATTCAAAACACTAAAATTTCCCAGGGCATATTTTCCAACAAAAATAAAAGTAAATTACAAGTTACTAAAATAATAAAGATTATAATGTCTTCATGTATTTAGAAATTGAAACATGACCTTTTAGATAACCCTTGGGTCAAAAGAGAAATTAGAAAATATTTCAAACTAAATTTTAATAGGTATTTAATATATGAATGTTTGGAAGATATAGATAAAGCATTGCTTAAAAGAGAAATTATAGCTTTATGATGCTAATATTATAAAGGAAGAAAGACTTAAAGGCAGTATTCTAAGGGTCCCTTTTAAGAACAAATAAATAAAATAAATACCTTTGTGCAGGGTGGAACAAAGGTAGGTTGGCATGCAGCCTCGTGACAGCTAAACAATGAATAGTCTACCACTACAGAGGAGAGGAGGGATGGGGCCAGGCACTCCGTTCCTTGCAGTCCTCAGAGTTTGGCTGATCAAAACACAAAGGCACAGAGAACACACTGAGCATAATGTAGCTATGGTTACCAGCATTTTTTTCTGTGAATTACAGTAATCATACCCTTTTATGTCCTTTGTTTATTTCTGCTTATGATATTGCAAATCCGATGAAGGAATAAAAATGGTCCCTTAGGTTATTTCTCATCTTCTGTTGTTTCCCTCCCTCCCCAGGCATCACTACAGTTCTGACAATGACTACTCTGAGTACAATAGCCAGGAAGTCGCTACCTAAGGTTTCCTATGTGACTGCCATGGACCTCTTCGTTTCTGTGTGTTTCATTTTTGTCTTCGCAGCCTTGATGGAATACGGCACCTTGCATTATTTTACCAGCAACAAGAAAGTAAAGACAGCTAGAGACAGAAAGATAAAAAGCAAAGCCTCGGTATGTGAAAACTCTCTATCTTATAAATAGCAATTTTTCTATTCGAGATACTGTTTTGAATACTTGTGTTATACTTACTTCCACTAACATGGGTGCTTGAGGTGCCCTGACAAAAAATAAATAAAATGAAAATAAAACTGGAATACCTAACATTGCCTGCCAAGGAAAGTGTATTTATATTTCACCTTAGAAAAGTTTCTTGGATTGCCTTTGTAAAGACTGGTTTTGGATGCTGTGAATTTTCCCCAAGTCATGGGTTCTTGTAACTAAAACATTATTTAAGATCATTCTATAAAGATATTCTATGTTTGTGTAACTGGAATTTGATCAACTGGTGGTCCATGCATTAATTTATTTTTTAGAGACAAAGATTCCTCCTTAATGTTAGTATTCAGCTGTGTTTGAAAGTCAGAGCTACACAGTTCTCTCCTGGTATCTGTATATTTATACTCTTTTTCTTCCTCTTCCCAATCATGTATCAGTCTTACATCACATCAAGTTGATATATTAGAGCTGATTCTAAGATATTCAAGGGTTGGATCACTGACTATCATTTCTTGTTATAATGGTAATTACACAACCTTAAAGTAATATCTAACGGTGATAATACCAGGCGCGCCTCTAAGTATTTTGCATGTGTGGTTTTGTCCGTGCTCATATGAGTACAAGTTCAGTGATTTGCACAAGGACAGCCTGAGGAAGTAAAGGACCGAGGGCCGGATCTTCTTTAGTGCCAGGGCTCAAGTTTGCAATCCTTCTTCTATATTACCTTTCCTCAGAGAACTCAGAAAATAAACATCCAGTTTTCCAACATTAACTTAAAAAAGTATTTCATGCTGACTCCAGAAAATGTTTTCAAAGTGGATTTGTTCCAAAGTACCCAAATAAATGAAAACTGTATAAAATAGCTGTGCAAAGGAGGCAAGCTTGTGAGACTACTATAGAGATTATATAATGAGGCATAAAGTTTCCCATATTATCTCCTAACCTTGTAAATTCTAGAGTTCAAAGCTTCTTTCCCTCCTCTGTTTTCATTAGTTTTGTTATAAAATTTGCCATACTTATAAATTATATTCTGCTTCTCATATTATACTCCAAAAAACAAATCTTTGTGAATTTGCTTTCAGATTCCTACAGTATCCCAAGAAAGCAGAGCACACTACGGACACTGAGAACTGTCATTGAGAACTTCACCTTGTAGAATTAACCTGGGAGTTTCTCAAGTTCACATTGTTTTAACTTATGCATAGGACATATTATAACCCCTGAAAGGACAAACCACCAAAGGGCAATGGCGTCAACTTTAATATTGACTTACTAATCTTAGGCAAAGAGAAATGCATTTTCCTTTAATCTAAGCCAAGCGTATCTCTGGATTTTCCACTTCATTATTTCCTCCTTCACAGCTATGTTCAGTTACTACCTTGGAAATTTTACTTATGGAAATTGTGAACGAAAGCCAGGCAGTGTACAACTGCACATGGATTCTGCAATTTCATTCTAAGAATATAAAATGTAGGTACTAATATTATAACATCTAAGGATACTCAACCCGTGAGCGGCTGCAGCTAAATCACTTTGACTCCAGATCACTCATTCTCAGTCACGCTGCATGTGACATTTTCTCAAAAAGCTAAAAAGTGGAGTGTGAACTTTAAAATTATGATGTTTATTTAATCATTCATTTACCAAGTATTTATTAAGGACACATGTTCTAGGCATTGTATTAGAATAGCTATTTAAGAAAAAATCTTAATGTCAAGCATTTAAAATTTAGCATAAGCCCAGGAAACAAAATACTAAAGGTGAAAAAATAAGGAATGAAAATAAAATGAAAGTTCAAAGTGCTAAATTTCAAATTCAAAAGTTAAACTTAACATATTACTGAATAAAAAACTATTTTCTTTAAAACCATTCCCCCAAATTAAAGTTCTATAACCTTTTATTTCCATTCAGTTATGTAATTCATGAACTCTTTCGATAATAAATGACACTTTGAGTGAAAAACTGGGATAGTAATCTAATCTGACTTCCTACCCTGTTCATTCATATATTGTTGCTAATCAGGTAAATCAATATGAGTGCACTTTTATAAAGTATAGAGATGTCCGCTTGCTATTATTTTTTGTTTTTATTTCTGCTCCTTAAGAATATGATTTGGGTATGTCTATGTCAATATCTATTAAAAAACTAAAAAGTTAACTATGTTGGACTTGTAATTAAAAACATTTTTGAAACAACTGAAGGCCACAGAAGTGCAATAGTAGTAAATTTATCAACCGAAGAGCAGTTCATGTGAAACTAGAATATTCAGCCTATAGATAATTAGAAACCTCAAGAAACTGTATTACCCACACCAGTCTCCTGATATTCACATTTAAGGATAAAATTTACTAGTAATCTCTCAATTTGATTAAAATGTAAAATGATAGAGATTTATTTCACCAACAAGGAACAAGACAATTAGGAGAGAAAAACAATAGAATGTCTTCTCTGTTTTAGGGATCTTTAAATCTAGTTATAGCAAAATACATTAGGCATGTAAATGCAAGATAATAAAGTGCAATACAAGTAACAGTCCAATGTAAAAATACAAAGTAAACACAGAAACTACAAGGGAATTAGCCATTAGATGACTAATTTCAAATACTTTTTCAGGAGCAAAATATTTTCTATGCTGTATATAAATAAAAGATACTTTTAAAGAAGATGTTCTCATTGGAATATCTCGAGTTCATGCTCCAACACAGTGACACACTGACCAAACAAGTGCGCGGTGCTGAGAAGAGCCACAGTGGAGTGGAGTGATAATTCCCTTAAAAAGTTGTAAGCATTCTCCCAATGGAAATTTGACAGAGAAGATTACAAAGAAAGTATGATATTGTTGAAGTAGTTCTTTGAAGAGTAAGTTGTGGTTTACAGGGAAGCAAATTAGAAAGGACATTTAGGACAAAGGGAACCATGCAAACCAAGTTGAGCCTCACATATGAAAATAAAAGGTAGACTGATATATGCCCCCAGTTGTGTTGCCCAAGAGAATAGCCATCAGCCATATATTGCTAGGTTGATTTAAATGAATCCAAATTAATCGAAATTTAAAATTCAATAGCTTAACAGTATTTGTCACACTTCAGGTGAGTAGAGGCTACCATTTTGGACAATGCAGGTAGAGAACATTCCTACTATGAGCGGCGGTTGTGTTGGTCAGTGCTGGTCTAGCAAATAGGAATCTCAGGGAAGAAAATGAGCCGGGCTGATGGTAGAAAAGTGGTTTATGCCAAGTTGTGGGAAGTCTCCTGGACCATAATAAGAAAACTGGATTTTTTCCTATCAGCTTTGGTAAGCCATGAATGTTTTTTAAGTAAAATAGCATATTTTTATCTGTGTTTCTGAAAAATAATTAGAATTAGCATAGAACATACACTTAAATGGAAAAAGAGGCAGGGAGATAAATCTGGAGGCCACAATAGTTCAAGATATAATATATTATGGAGAGCTGGACCTAGGTTATTAGAGTGGAGATAAATGCGGGACAGTTGTTTTGTTTTGTGTGTGTTTTTACCCACAATTCCTGCCCCACAGGGGAAAAAAAAACTTAGTTTTGGTCAGTGCATATCTATATGAATAAACATTCTTCTCTCATCCAGAGTTTTGGAATAATGAAAAACTATATAAATACAGAGTTTCACAAACTATGAACCTTCTTTCCTGAATCGTATTTGGCAAAGCTCACAGGACGGGTCATTTCATATTGGTGATATGTGAAATACAGCAAGAAGGTTATTTAAATAATTGTAAAGGGTCAGTGGAAGTGAGATGTTTCCAACATATAAGGTAACATTTAATATCAGTTTTGATAATGTCATATAAAGCTCTGCAGGTGCCCATACACCTCTAATAGCTCTTTTCTATCTTGATTTCCAAGTAACACTCCTTTCTATTTCTCTTCTTACTGAAACCACCATAGATTATTACAGAAGAATAATAATCAGGGGTAAAAATCACCTTTAAAAAGATCTAATATTAAAAGTAATACATGTGCATGGTTCAAACTCATGAACAAATTAAACAATGTAAACTGTGCAAATTAAGAATAAAATTCTCTGCCCTGTACCCCTGTTCCCAACTCTCAGAAGTAACCACATTTTAAACATTTCTTTACTTAGTTTCCTCTGATTATTTTCATTATATTTCTAATTCGCACAGTAGCGTATTTCAAAGCAGTTATAACTTTTGTATAAAGGACAGAAAACTATAAATTTCTCATGTCTTTTTCCTATTCTCTCCTTCAGTGTTTTACCTTACCACTCATAATTATTATATTGGTTAATTTAAAATTTTTAAATAACACACTTAAATCTCTACTTGTTAATTCATCATCATGACTAATTCTGCCCTGAACCAGGAGCTCAGTTTATTAGAGAGTCCTTCGGATGTGCTTAGATTGTAAGTTAGATCCCTGGTCAGGGCACATACAAAAATCAATTAATAAATGCATAAATAAGTAGATCAACAAATAATTGTTTCTCTTTTCTCCCTTCTGCCTTTCACCTCTCTTTAAGTCATTAATAAAATTTATTATCATTAATTCTAATGTCAATATAATTATTATTTTTTCATATATATAGTCTTTTATTTTCTTACTTGAAATTTTCATTATCGTCTGTTTCTCAACAGTGTAAAAATTAATTGACCTCATTCATTTCTTTGTTGCTTAATATTCTTATTTTTTATAGCTGGGAATTTTTTGATTCTTTATTGCAACTCATTTATATTTGCCCCTCTAAAACTATTTTAGATGAATTTTAGGTTAATTATGTATTCCAGATTTTCTTTTTATCATATTTTTTATTGAGGTACTTTATTTTTGTGCATATTGTGGCCAACTTCCTCAAGATTGTGTTCTATAGAGCTCGAGATTTTTTAATTACAGTAACTTGAATTTTTGAGAGCTTTCATTTTCTTTGCCCTCCTTTTTGACTTAAATGGACAAAATATGTCTTCAAGTCTTTGTGAGTAATCTAATTATAAATTTCTCTTATGTTTCCTGAACTATTAGAATTAGTCAGTCTAGTGGTTCATCATTCTTCTTTTTCATTGATATCATTGCTTTACCTTGAAATTTCTTAGCAGTTTCTCTCCACTAGACCTTGTGAGTTTGGAACATAACTGTTAAGTTTGCAGCTGCCAGGTTTCACTTTCATGTGTGTCTGTGGGAAACAAGGCATCTGATTGCTTCCAAACATACACACATGCACCCTCCAGAATGATGAGGGTATTACTAGGACATTATTGTACCAAATTCAGGAGCCCTAATCCTTGCTAAAGTAGCATGAAATTATTTATTTATTATTTTCAGATGTTACAGAAGCAAACACCAAAGTGTCAGCACCACTACTTGTTTGCATGTACAGTAGGTGAGCAGTAGTTCAAACAGGTGCAGCTGCTCTGGAGATGGACATTTAAACATTTAACGTCCTGTTTCCCCTCCTGTTTATCATTTCCATCCATTCCTACCTTAGAGTGGGAAGCTTTGATGGGAAGAATGACTCCCACACTCGTGTTCCTACTTGCTGAGGCTCCTCTGAAGTGTTTCCTGTGGTCTCTTTTACGCATTGGCCTACTTCCATCTGTTCTTTGTCTTTCAAAAACTCACCTGAAATTCTGACATGCTGATGGGCAGCTCATCATTATGAAGACTCACCTTTATGTGTTTTTAACAATGATGTGTGCTTTCTAATCTTTGAATTTCTGACTGACTTTGCAAAAGTGGAGTGGAGAAAACCTATGCTTAGACTGGCATTTTCATGTGCAACTTTTGAAATGGGAAATTTAATAATAGTAATATTAGTATTGCCTACTATCAGTAACATGACCTAATAATGTTTTCTATAATATTACTAATATTTAATAGCATATCATCAGTGATGATAATAATCATATTTTATAAATACACATATAAATATAATTGTACATAAATGTTTTATTTACTACTTAATATTAATTGATATTAATATGTCAATACCTAAAATATGCCTTCTATAGTTAAATATATTATAAATAAGTGTAATTTAGAATTTAATATAAAACCAGATATATATGCATATATAATTATGAGAATATAATCAATTTTAAAAAATATTAAATTTAGTTATATTCTTAGTGGTTTTTTGAAGTATTCAAAAATAGTATATTTTAAAAACTTTATCACTTGAAGAAAAAGAAAATCCTATTCAATTTTTTGTATATCACATAAACTGATTTAGTTTTTCAATGCTTGTTATTTGCGGGGGGTGGGTGCAAAAGATCTTCACTTGAAAAGTCACAAGGTGGGTAATATAGTTTCAGTTCAGATAAATAAGGTTTAGTATATTTATACTCTTGGATTAATCTTCTGGTGGTTTCTGGGTAAATCTTGTCAGTCAAAATATTTTCTTTTATTGATACTACGTCAGCTCTTTGACTATTTTTCTCAGCACTTTTAAAGCATATATATATTTTTCACATTCATCACTCACTACAGAATAATTTCTGAATTTCTGGTATTTGGGGAGGGGCACCAGGAGAGGGGAGAGTGGTCGGTGGCCATTGGCACTCTACCCAGTTTTGACCACTGAAGATGAGCCTGATTTTTTAAATGACCCGCTCGCAGTCTTTCTCCATTTCCGTGCCCTTTAGTGTTTCATCATCCCACTATGCACAACTGGTATCTCCTGAGAGACACGCTGTATTTCCACCCTGGCAGTTCTGAGTGATATGTGGAATGTGTTGTACACTGTATAGCTTTACCATTGCCAAATGCCAAACTCGCATTTTAATCACTTGCACTCTGACTAGCATTCGAACTATGCTAGTGGAGTATCAAGTGATGAAATGAAAACCAATTTGTCTCACTTTTGCACATAATTTTAGTGTTCCAGTAAAATTTAGGAGTCTGGTCAAGTATCTCCTAGTGTCAACCTGAAGAGATCTGTCATTAACATTTAGTAATCTACTGCTTCTGCTTTTCATAACACATCTAAGTGAGTAGAGTCATGAATTTATTTAGGTTTAGGGCATTTCTCCTTATCTTTGGGCTGCACATTTTCTTTCTAATAAGGATATTATGACATGTGTGATGCATTTACTTTATAAAATATCACAAAATGTGATTGCTTCTTTCTGCATATATCACATTTTTAGTATTTTGTGTTTTGGATTCTATGTTTCTCTTTTGAAATAAAATAGAGTTAAATATATCTAAATATTAAGAATCCCTGATTTTTAATTTTTAATTATCCATATCATAATTAATTCTCATGGCTTTGTGATAGATTTATTTTAAATTTAAGATTTAAAAAATAATAAACATGGTTATTAGAAAGAATTTAGATCAGGTTAAAACAATTTTTATAATGTTAGCATTGTGTTTGCTGTTTAGATAATATAACCAATAATTACAATAAGCTGTAAAGTCACATCCTAAGATATCCATGAAATATGCAGAAGTACTGAAGAATAAGAGTTAATAAACTGCCATCTTCATGCATATTGTACCAGCCATTTTATTCAAGGGCTCATTAATTATTTTTCTGATAACATTTTTGATGATGTCTGGGTTTTTATTTTTTTTGTTGTTACTTGTTTTAACACATAGCTTATAGCCACTTTTGATATATCCTCTTTAGGAATCAAAATGAGCAATGACAACAGCAATAAGTATTAGCTGTTGGCAGATGAATACTTCTTATGTTTCAAATATTTTGCTCAGTGCTTTATGCACATTGTCTCATTTAAGTACCCAATAGATCTGCGTATTGTTATTGTGACTTCTACAGCATGGGGCAGACCAGTCACATTTCCTGTTCAAGGTCATACAGCTCTATTGTGCAGAACTAGAATTTCTGCTCAAACTGTTCTGACTCCAAAGCGATTGCTTTAATGCTCCATAGAATTCTGAAATTGCTTAATTAAATGCATGCATGCATGTGTGTGTGTGTACACACATTGACACACACGTGTGTGTATACACACGTGCACACACATTTGTGTTATTTATATATGTATATATTATATGCATGCTATTTGTATATGAATATATTGTATGTATAAATAAATGCATATTTATATATGTATACATTATATATGCACATAGAGACTATATATGTGTGTGTATACATATATACATATATATATATATAGTCTAGAAAAAAGTCCAGCCATTGTGACTATAATGAGAATGGTTTGCAAGGCATTGATGTAACCTGGCAACCAAGGAGAGCAGACTGGAATGCAAATCCATGAACAATGATGACTTTCCTGTACTAGTTAGTGGGGGTGATAGACACCATTGAGTGAGCACATGTACTGTGTGCCTGTTGCATTAAAAATGACTGAATCGAATAATGAACTAACAATGAATCTGCATCAAATTTTGTGTTAATCTTAAATATTCCTCCATGTAAACTATTTGAATGATTCAGAAGACCACAGCTATGGGTAACTGATGATTGGCAGCTTCATCATAACAATATACCCACTCATGCATCATGTCTTGTGCAGAGTTCTTTGGCAAAACACCAAATCACCCTGATACAGCCCAGATTTGGCACCCTGCAACTTGTGATTTTTCCCTAAACTAAGATCACTTCTGAAAGGAAAGAGATTTCAGACTATCAATGAGATTAAGGGAAATACAAGGGGACAGCTGATGGCGATGGAAGAACTGTGTGAGGCCCCAAGGTGCCAACTTTGAAGGGGTCTGAGGCATCATTGTCCTATGTACAAGGTTTCTTGCATTTTGTATCTTCTTCAATCAAGGTCTCTCTTTTTCAAATTACATGGCTGGATACCTTCTGGATGCATATGTATCTAATTGAATAATTAAATTTATTGATATAACATCAGTTAATAAGATTATATTAGTTTCAGCTATAGATTTCTATGAAACATGATTTGTGTATTGCATTCTGTATCCACCACTTGAAGTCCAATTATCATCTGTCGCCATGGATTTAGCTCCCTTTAACCTTTACTCTCCCCTACCTCCTTCCTATATTAAAGAATATTAGTATTATTAAGAACCTGTGATCACAAAAAGTTAAATTGATATGTGTCCCAAATAATCTTAATAATAACAGTAGCTATTTTACTGGGCAAGATGAAGCACTGATCATTTTATATGTTATGAAATGTGCTCATCACAGCCATCTCAAAAATTAGGTGCTAATATCACTTTAGCTTTGAGGGTGGCTACACTGGAAGAATGAGACAGATTTTGAACTCTAATTGTTCTGAAACCTGAGTTTTTAACTCATGCCTGATCTTTCTCCCAAATGCGGTGCTTTGATCTTATCCATGACAACTTCCATGATACCATTTTTTAAATTCATTCTCAGCTTTTCAAGACTTGTTTACATTGTCAATGTCATCTTTGCTATTTTTGTCATTATTAGTTAAATTAGAAAAATTTATATAATGTGATGTAATAAACAAACATTTATGGTAAATATCATAGAAATATACATTTCATTCTGTTTTAGAATTAGAGTTGTGGTTAATATTTTGATGGGTCATATTCTAAAATATAGCATATATTTCATTTTTGAAGGGTGTTTTTTTCTGCATGATCTTTGAAATGTAAAATAATATTGTTAATATATAATAAATTATAAAGTAAAATCACATTAGGTTTGAATACACTTTGATTTGGGGAAACTAAAATTGTTCTTACTGATTATTTTAGAGCTAGTCTTGTGGCAACAGGCTGATCTTTTTTTGTTCTGATGCTGTTTTATCTTTCTCATTTATCGTTTCACTCAGATATCCCCTGGACTCCACCCTGGGTCCACTCTGATCCCAATGAACAGCATCTCTCTTCCACAAGGAGAAGATGACTACGGGTATCAGTGTTTGGAGGGCAAAGACTGTGCCAGCTTCTTCTGCTGCTTTGAGGACTGCAAAACAGGGTCATGGAGGGAAGGGAGGATCCACATACGCATTGCCAAAATTGATTCCTATTCACGAATATTCTTCCCAACCGCTTTTGCTCTGTTCAATCTGGTTTATTGGGTTGGGTATCTCTACTTATAAGTTCTACTTACTAAGAAAAATCACAAGAAGTTTGACTAAATCTGATATAATCTACTGTACTTCAGTAATGTGAAGTTTAAATTTAAAATTCACAGAAACCAATGACTAAAATGTGAATAATATAAGCATTTTAAGGCTTTCATGGGAAAGTAAAGTAGAAGTTTGCATATTAACTTAAATTTATGAGATTACTTGTAAAATTCATCCAATTAGTAACTATCATTATATATTTCTACTTGAATTTTATTTATTTTACTTATATCACATTAGGACTTTGAAATAAATTTCTTGACTTGTATTTTAAAGGTGGAGTAATTTTAATACATATTTTATTTAAATATAATTTCTCTCTCTATATATAGATCGATAGATAGATAGATACCCCTAATCCAATGCCTAATACTTATATAGAAATTTTTACCTAGGAAATATTGATAATTGGATTTTTCTTGCTTTTTATTTACATGCCTTGTTTAGAATACAGGTAGTTAAAAGCCTAAAGCCATGATTTCCTGGGATTCATTTTGAAGATCTTTTATTCCCAGAAATTAGTAATTTTAAATTCCTTATTAATTAAAGAAGATAACACCAATTTTTACATTATTAAGAGGCCAATTTGATCTGTATTTTAATCAAGTCTGTTTCCTGACACAATATTAAATAGAACTGACTACATTTAGTTTTCTAAAAGTTACATTTATTGGGGTGACATGGGTTAATGAGATTATATAGTTTTTTGATAATTTATGAACTAGGATGGAAACCACTAATGCCATCTTTTTAAAATACAAGTTTAAAGAATAATAAGAATGTTCCATTTAGCCACTTTATTCTCTGTTTCACTGCATTTATGTCATATGAAGAAGTTAACCCTGAAATATTTAGCTCTGCCAATACTGATGTTAAATGAATAGAGAATTGAATTTTCTTGGATGTTCTACGAAAGTGTTTCATTCCTTACATTAACGAAAACACTGAGGAACAGTAGTGCTTCATGGTTAAAGAAATTATTTCCTAGGAAACGGAGTGACAGTTCATACTGAGAGTATGGTAGTTAAATATGAACTATCAACATTGTTCAGACTAGAAATGTTCTAGAGACAGTTTTAGGCATTTGCCATATGTTGCCTTTTCTATCTCCTAAGTTTGGACCCTATCAGTTTTACGACTTCATCATAAATCGTTGTGATGTTCTGTTCTCTAGGAAGTGCTGGCAGGTCCTGAAGTCACACTAACGATGACGTACATCCACCTTGGATGGACATGAGTGTGGGGACTCTCCACATTGTTAAAGACAGGAGCAGTGCCAGCTTCACTGCAATGTAAAGCCTGTTGTTGAATAGTTTCCAAGATGTATCTTTTGTTAAGAGGGAGTTAAATTTAGGCTTAAATCATTATATTCTTGTAACCACTTTGGTATATCAATTGTTTCTAAGAAACCCATATTCATTCATTGTCACCTAATTTTCTAGAAAATCTCCAGAGTGATATTGGAGATAAAATGTAAAATTGTTTCCATTGCCAAGAACAACTATCAGGATGATGTTTTTTGATAAAGGCCTATTTTATGTTACGCAGATGAAGCTATTGCCTGTGCATTTAACACTCTAGTTTTAATACAATAATCTGTTCACACGGGTAGTGAATACGTGAGTGAGGGTCTGGCATGCTTGTATGTATATTTATGGAACATAGTTTTTTAAAAATCTAAGTGTATTTCTTTGTGTGCTCCCCACCTATGTCTGAATTTTTTACTATGCTTATGAGCCTCTGAAAAAATTAAGCATACATTGAACAATAATGCCCTAATATCCACCGACACTGCTTTCTTTGAATGGAGAGCCAAAGTAAACTTTGGCCATGTAATATATTCATTTGCAAATCATTCATGCACTCATTTTATAATATTGAGTATTAATAGACATTCTTAATGTGAACATTAATTTTTGGATAAATGAAAAATGAAGCACCCATGAAGAATAAAACACTTCACTAAAATGTATTATATCTATTTCCATAACACATTTCAAAGGGAATGCAATTTTAAGCTATCAGCAGCTGATTATCATGGGGACAAAGCTAATTCTGGGATGCTTTCAAGTCTGTCTAAGCATGACTACATTTGAAAAGTACTTAAAAGGGCTTAGTGTAAATATTTTTTATTTTCTCACTGGTGTTCCATTGACCTGGCTTTAAATGTTGGCAATATTTACAAGTGGAAATAAAAGTGATAAAAAATAAAAGATGTTTTTCTATATACATTCATTGTATATACCATCAAAGCAACAGCTTTGCCTCAAAGTCAGTGGTATTTTGAGCAGTTTTGTTTAAATACGTAGATAAGAAATAGAATATATAAATATTATTTCTAAAAATTAGAATAAAAAGGCAAAAGTGCAGTCTGACTCTTTTTATAAGAAATAAGGTAAATCTTATTTTCTAAGGGAATGCAGGAGAATCACTGGTCTTCTCTTCTTTAACAAAGGTTGCTGTCTTGAGAATTGATTTTTAAAAACCCTTCTCTTTCTCCAGTGAGTTATGCCTTAATTTGTTGGATTCTGGAACTTGTGTTTCCTAGTTGCTTTAAATGTTTTTAACACTAATCTAAACAAGTGTACACAGGGAATGTGTGAAGGACAATTGTTGCTGAAAGATGTAGAATCATTTAGAAAAATGTTAATTCATATAGACCATTCTCTAACTAAGTGATCAAGACACAGAAGTTCTGAGAAAGGATGTTATGATTTGTATAACTTTGATCTCTTGGACTTACAGTTGCATGATAAAACTTTATTCATTTTCAATTGCATAGATAAACTTAGGCTCATTTGAAACTAATTTCTAAAATACCAAATAGTTTCTGAAAAACAACCTTAAGATTATCTGAGAATTTATTAGGGAAAGGGAAAAATTCCTCAATAAATTTATTTAACTATGAAGCTTTAATTTAAGAATCAGACAATTCATTAGATTGATTTTAAGTTAAAGACAGATATCTTCAGGTATTTTAAAAACTGATTATTACTAGGTTAAAGCACAGTAAATTTGTGTAAATAAGTGGACAATCACCAGGTTTTCTTTTTCTTCTTTAATGTGTTCCCATATTCTGAAGTCCACATATAGTCATAAAATATGCTGTGTTTTTGCTTAAGAGCAAGGCCAAAGCTGAGGACAGCATGCTTGCCAATGATTTATCATCACAAAAAAATGGATGATAATACTTTCATATTGAGGGACCCATAATTATAAACTTATATTCCAAGTCATATGTTGTAACAAGATGCATAATGTACTGTGATTATACAAGAGGAGGTTTACTAATAAATACACATATATAAAATTACCAAAGTTCTATACCAATGACTATTTTCACTTGCAAAATTTCCTATAACAAGATACCAAATTTGCAACTATTTCATCAATCATGGTGCTGGAGTTGAAGTGATCTATTAGAAGTTTAATGATTTAGCACTTGTCCCACCCAAAACATTTTGATAATAATTTCTGATCAAGATATTTCTCTTTACATCATCAGGTTCCTCTCATTCCTCAATGCTACGCCATGTGAGGCCCAGACATGTTTGCTATTATGCGTCTGTTGGACCTCATTGTTTTTCACTGCAAGGAAGCCCCTGACAGGCCACTCTAAAGTCACAGAAACCTTTGCCATTTCTCTATAAAAGCAAATTAAATGACACTGAAACAGACAAACAAAAAAATCTTTTCAACTGGAGTTGCCTAACACTATTGACCACATTGCTCTAGTAGATACAAGGTCAGTCCTGCCTCTTTTGTGTTTGCATTTTAAAAGTCACATAACTTAATTCATATATTATGCACTTATTATGCATAAGATACATGGATACAATAGGGAATACACAAAGATGAACTCTCAAGGAAAATACAGTCAGATGACTCGTTATACAATTTAAGGGAGAGAGGTAACACTGGGAAAGTCTCTTGGAAGGTATGTGTTCAGAGATGGGAGCCTGAGATTCCACATGTCAACAGGTGAGCCTAACAGATATCGCACTCTGCTGTGAAGTGAAAACCTTGAATAAAGAAGCAGAAACATGGGCTCAATTATAAATTTCATTTTAATTGAAGTTTGAGATTCATATAGAGATGATCCAATATGATACTAAAAAGATAGTTTGAGTCTTATGGTACAGAGGCAAGAATATGAACTTCAGGAGGCTGGGTAAGGCTATAACTTTGAAGAGTTCATGAAGATGCTTAAGTACAATAGAGCCATTTTTAAGGCTACAGAAGTTTCATCTTCTTAGTGTGTGATGTTTGGAGTAAGAAAAGCCAGTTAAGAAGCTATTATGATATAGGAGGTGAGAGAAGATGAAGGTCAGTACTCTGGTGATAGAAGGTCAACAGAGAAGAAGAAGAGAGAGCCCCTGAACAAGAAAGTACAGGTGACATACATGAAACTGTGATGAAGAGAAAACATTTACTGAGTGACATGGAGTGTGTGACAGGGGACACGGTCCTGTATCGATAGTAGATATTTATGTATACACAGATACTAGAACATGACGAAGAAATTCTGAGTGTATTACAAACTTTTCTGCTATTACTTTGAACATTTTCAAACAAATGCTTATTTTTTTCTATGCATCTTTGCCTTCCCCACATTAGAAGTGAAGAAAACGAATAACATCCCAAAGTACAAATAATAAGGTAGTTCTGTCCAGGTTATTATTTTTGAATGAATATGTTACTTACTAAAGAGGGCTTTCTTATCAAATAACTAACTTTTTATTCTTTCTAACTGAGGGGGGATGTACTTGGACAAAGAGAGGAAAGGAAGGGAACTGTGAATAGAAATAGGAGGCTACAGAACCAGACAAATTCTGGAAGTTGATTTCTGATTCTCAAACAATTTCTACAATATTTGTTGCAAAATAAATATGTTATTTTTTTATTATTGGACAGTGAAATGTACCTTGAACCTTAGTGTCTGTAAATAAGTGAGAAGAGCCTGTGTTAACTGCAGTGCAGCTAAGCAGAAATGGCTAATCAACACACTTTTATGACATGGTTCACCTAAATGGAAATAGGTTGGGTCTTCATAAATCACTGTAATCAGTTGTTTGCATCTATTAAGTGTATGTAGTTGGTCCATACAATAAAGTTTAATGCCTTGTGATTATAATGGCTTCTGTGGTTTGCTTCTGCCTTGTCAATTTGGGAGAACTTTGTGAGTTGCTCAAATTTTGAAAGTATTCTGTACTTTCATGATTCTAAATGCAAAATAAACTCAGTAACTTGTTATGAAATAAAGGGTTATATTCTCTTAAAATGTTTTTTTAATCGTTTCATACAGATATGTTCCTTTATTCTTTGAGTGTGTAATCATAACCTTAGCATTACATTTTGATCAATGTTATTTCACATTCTTAAATATGAAAATAAATTTGCAGTTTATTAGAGAGTTCTGAAACATAAGTTGAATTCTGTAAGATTAGGTAATGATAGTTAATGCTTACATATGATTTTCACTGCAAACACTATGCATTCATAGATTATTCTAACAAACTATGATTTTATCCTAAACTGGACTGCCAGCTACTCTCCCCCAGGTGAGCTGACAAAGGGAAAATTATTAGCTACTATGGACACTCAGGTAATTCCAAAATACCCTGGATTATAAAAACATCTTATTTCATTTGAACAGTTACTGAAAATAAATTAAAATCCAAAAAAGTCAGAAAAGAAGTAATCTTCTGCCTCACCCTTTTAGTTCTCTCTTCTCTGCCACCAAAGTACAGTACTTAAACAATTGTGATTCTTTCTTCAAATCCGATGTTGTTTTTACAGAAAGTTGAAGAAAACAGGGAGGGGGGAAGGGAATTTAATGTTTCTAATGCACCTGCCATGTGTCTGGAACTTTAAATGCATCATATATTAATAATTTTATCATCAAAGCAAAGGAGATGGAAAAACCAAGGCTCAGTATATTAGACATATTCTCTAAGCTAATATACCTGTAACTGGAACTTAAATTTAGATACCTCTAGTTGTAGAGATCATTATCTTTCAGTTACTTGAAACTTGAATGATGACAAAGTAATTCTTCATATGCCAACACTAGAATGGGTTTCCTTCACAAAAGAGTAGCTTAGACCTAATTAAACAACCAGTCAATTGTGTACAAAGCATAAAAACACTACATTATTCAGTAAGAGCATAATCTCTGCTATCTCCTTATTTCCAATGTAAACTTCATTTCAGCTGAAACACTTTAAACATGTACTTAAAGTGTTTCTGAAAAATTATTCCTCTTCTTCAATCAAATATAATACAGTACTGACTTTTTAAAATTAAATTTATTCATAAGACATTGGTTAACAAGATTATGTAGGCTTCAAGTGTACAAAGCTATGATACATCATTTGCACATGGTACTGTATGCCCACCACCTAAAGTCAAATCCTCCATCACCATGAACTTGACCTTCTTTATTCTTTGCCAACACCTTACCCGCCTCCCCTCTGGTAACCACCATACTGTTGTCTATGTCTATGAGTTTTGTTTGCTTTTCTTACTTGTTCATTTGTTGCTTTCAGTGTTATATCCCACATATGGATGAAATCTTAACACCTGGTAGAATGGCTATTATCAACCAGTCAGGTAATAACAAGTGTTGGATATGTGGAGGAAAAGGAACCCACATTCACTGCTGGTGGGAATGTAAACTGGCACAGCCACTATGGAAACACTATGAAGGGTCTTCAAAAAATTAAGAAAGGAATTAACAAAGACCCAGAAACCTTCCTATGGGTATCCATCTGAAAATTTTGAAAACATTTATTCACAAAAATCTATGCCCCCTATGATCACTGCAGCATTATTCATGATGTCCAAGACAGGGCATCATGAATAATCAAACAATCAATCAAAGTTCTCTTAATAGATGATTGGATAAAGAAGATATGGTACATATATACAATGGGATACTATTTAACCATATAAATAATAGGAATTTCAGAAAGAGAAAAACAGAAAATAGAGGGGGGGAATCATCAAATAAATGATTAAACAGTTTTTTCAAGAACTGAATGATGACATTTTAGTTAAAAGGGCCATTGAGAGCTCAGTTCAGTGGATGAAAACATTCTCATGCCAAGGCACATCATTATTAAAAGTCAACACTGAAGACCATGGAAGAGTCTACAAACTTCATGAGAAGAAAATAAGAGGTTTCATGGAAAAGGTAAGGATAGAGGACAGCATCAAATTTTTCAGCAGCAACACTTGGAAGCTGCAACATAATAAATAGAGCAGGACCTGGACACAGTCCAAAGAGAAAATAATGGAATTATGTTCTCAGGCAGTATCAATGTATTGTGACTGTAGAATCAGGACATTGTCATCCATGTAAAAAAAAAAAACAAACGTAAAGAAAGATAAAATACTGCCATTTGCAACAATATGGATGGATCTTGAGAATATAGCATGCTAAGCAAAATAAGCCAGACGGGAAAAGTATTTACTTTTTAGAAAGTGACAAATGATGGCCCCAGCAATGGCTATCAGAGCACAGCCACACCCATTCACTTGCATGTGTCTGTGGCTGCTTCTCCATCCTAACAGTAGAACTGAGCAGGTGGAACAGAATCATGCCCAAATATTTATTTTCTGGCACTTTGCAGAAAAAGTTCACAAACACCTACACTGAGATAACTGGTATTTAAAAGGACACCACATTTTTAAAGTCCATTTTCTTAATTTTTAAAATTTTAATTTTAAAAGAAAAAGATCTTGGTTAATAAGAATTTTATGTGAACTAGTGTGAGTAATTGCTCTCCACTGTATTTTATAGTCTCAGCTCCTCTTAGAGAGGTATTGATCAACACTATGTTCACTTTTGAGGACCTGTAAGACAGTTATGGAAAATGTGGAGAATGAACATACATTCTTCTTTCTAATTTTTGTTATTTAAACTAAACTATTGGAAATAGAGAACTGACAGTGACCAGAGGTGAGGGTGGAGGGGGATAATGGAGGAAAGAAGGGGAAGGAGCAAGCAAAGGAATGTGAATAGAGGACTCATGGGCACGGACAATGGGGGTGGACTGACTGTGGGAGTGGGGGGGGGGTGGGGAAAGGGAGAGCAGTGGGGAAAAAGGTGGGACAACTGTAAATGAACAACAATAAAATTTAAAAAATAAAAAATAAAATAAACCAGAGAGAAGATTGCTGTTACCACTAAAATTTATACATACTTTAAGTGAAAAGTAGTAAGTGCAAATATTAAAATATTTTAATATTTCCCCCTTGAGACAGCTTAAAGTATGCTTCCTCATTAAACTTCTTTTTGTTTCAATACAAAATCTCGCTTTCAACATTTTTCACAGTACTTCATTCCAAGCAGGTCTTTCTGAGTAATTTCATTAAAATAAATATTTAATTCACCTTGCACATTACTCATATGTTTTCCTTTGCATCTCAAGATGTGCGCTTTAATTATTAAAATTTACATTTCAAATAGTCACAAAAGTAGTTTGTCAAAATTTTCACACTCCAAAATAGGAAAGCTTCTTTACGATAGCGCTATGAAACAAGTAGCTTTTGAAATAATAAACTCCACATTCTCCATAAACCTAATGTCTGAATACTGATTCAAGTACACTAATACAACAAATTTTCTTATATTCTTGCTAAGTTTTAGGTTTTTGATTTATTTTTTAAAGCTTTTAACCTTCAAATCACTGTGCTAAGATTTCAATTCTTCCGACTTAACTTTTTAGATTACTTTAATAATGAACATTTTTGAAACAATGAAAACCTCACTTTGCATTACTTTTAATAATTAATATTAGTATGTTGTTTAACTATACAAGAGCTTTTGTATTAATAATCGCAGCTGACAAGTAGCACAGCCTAAGACATAGGAGAGACCAACTTCACTTAACAAACAAGAAAACAGTGGGCCAGAGAGCACGGGTGATTTACACAGCATACCACATCTCAAGTTCAAGTGTTTTGCTTACAAATTCTGTGTTATAATATCAGCTTTGAGTTTTAAGGTATACTGTAACATTTTGGAAGCATTTTTGTAGCACAACTAATCCCTCCCCTCTTTCCTGACTTTGTCTCCTCATGGATGAGTAATGAAGGTGAGCAAATATATTCCCACTATAAAGTGTTTTTGATGATTCTCAGTCACAGTCCCAGGAGAAGAATAATTAAATATTCAAATTGTGTAATTTGAGAAGGATTTAATTGAAGGACATTTTACAAGAGTGTTGTAAAGAGTTAGGAAATCTTCCAAGTATTTTTTAGAATACCAAAACAAATTCCAGAAGTAGGGACTAATAGCAGAGGGGCAAATCAGGAGATAGCGGTTAGAGGTAGTCACAAAAAATAGAACCAGAGGCATGGATACGTGGAACAGACGGACAGACCTCAGAGGGGAAAAGGGTGGGGGCTGGGAGAGTGTGGAGACTGGAAGAGATTAGCCAAGGAATCTGTATATAGCTCAGCTCAAGGGCACAGACAACAATGTGAGAAAGGCCTGAAAGCTGGGAGGGGGATGGCAGGGGCTGGGAGGAGCAAAGAGGGGAAATGGGGGACATCTGTAATAGTGTGTCAACAATAAAAGTTTTAAAAAGTAGCTGTGGGTCAAAGGAAATTTGGCAGGCACTGTGACCTTCAGTTAAAGGACATATATAGCTTGTTACAACACTGCTGGAGGCAACCTGTGGAATAAATACATCAGTGGCACTGCTTGCCTTCTTTTCTCTGATCTTCTGCTAGTGCCATCCACTGTCAAACTCTACCTGGAAGCCAGAGAGCAAGGGGGCCTTTGATATAATCCATACAGATCAGTTTTCTGGGACACAGAGCAGAAAGAAGGGTGGCAAGATGGGAAAGGAAACAAAATACCCAGAAAAATGTTTGAAGACACTGCCAGGAAGTTCAGATTGATTAAATTTAATGCACTTCATGACCCCATATTTATTTTCTCCTTACCTGGAAAACAAAGCTGGAGGCAGCCCCCTGCAACTCTGAGCTCCGTCCTCTCATTGCAGGGTTAATAGCTGCAGCTGGGCCAGGAAGCCTCGGCAGGTTTTAGCTCTGCCTCTAAGAAGCTTCTCTTTCTCTAGCTCCATTTTTCCCTGATACTGGCACAT